AAAAAAAAAAAAAAAAAAAAAAAAAAAAAAAAAAAAAAAAAAAAAAAAAAAAAAAAAAAAAAAAAAAAAAAAAAAAACTCATGAAAAACTGGGTAAGTGATCATGGCATGAACTCAATCCTCAAATGGATATGAACTTACAAATAGTCGAAGCTTCTGATCCGCGGTGGTTGACAGCATACTAAAGAAAAATTACCCTTACCCTATTAATCTATAAACATGGTAAGATACAATTTCAATGCATAATATTTCAATCATTTACACCAAAAGTTAATTGAACAATGGGTGCATTTTCTATGAATCAGGGATGAATCTTTCACCAATGTCATAATTAACGGGTAAAATTAAGGAAGAAGATTATCATCACGTACCACGAGCCCAGTGATGGGACCGCAAAGCCAAATAAACGAAGAAAACGCATGCTCAATTCCGAGTGTCTGCAAAATTAGACCAAAAAAAGAAAAGTCGAAGAAATTCGCAACCAGTAAAGTGTAAAATTAGGGGGAGGAAACTATAAACAAATGCAGCAAATACTTGAACAATGTCGTAACTAAGGAATAATCAGAGGAAGATTTTCGTTGAAAGCAATCTGAATGCGACTCAAGGACGAAATTAAAACCAGAGCAGAAGTGAGAAACAATACCTGAATATATGGCGTTAGTAGGGAAAGCTGTAATGCCCAACCAAATTGAACACCGGCAGCGATAGTACAACTGAGAATTAAGATAATCAAACTATTGGGCGTAGATCTAACATGAGGCGCTGACGATGAACTGTCTGGGCTTCCATTAGGAAATCCATCAGAAGGAGGAGAATTGAGATCGATCCCTTGAAGCTGCTGTTCATCGACAGCCACCATCTCCACTTCTGCATCATGGATGTTCCTGTACGGAACCCTGAAGGAAACCGAGTTGGGCTTCGCCGCCATGGCTCGAGCTAATCAACTGCAAGGGCAAAATCGCCCCACCGATCTAAAGCTTCCAATGGAGATCCTATCACAGTTGCGGTTACAAGAGGAACAGAGTACAGATTAAGGAATCGCAGATGGATGAAATGTAATGGAATGAACGACGAATCTGTGGCTGCAGTTGAAATCCACCGCCATTACAGAAGCACAACAATTCTATCGCCTTTAATCACACGGCGCGAGATGTTGGGGTCTAAGAAAATCGAGTTTTGAAACTTTGAATGAACACTACTTTCTTCAGAAAGGAACTTTGAATTCATACTTAATTCATGAAATTTCTACAATTAGGCTGTTCTATACAGTTGACCCAGAAATTAAAGTTATTTTGAAATTGCATTTCATTGATCGTTTTAGCTGTTGAAAGTGATTCCCAATAGTAAAAGAAAAAATTTCTTAGTAATAAACATACTTTCCTCTCCTCTCCTACTTATGTTATCGTGCCATTAAATGGACGTTGTGTTGTATTGTTTATGTACATCTAGATCGAGAATGAAATATAGATGATTATGATGATGTTTTTTTTTTTTTGGTCCCACAAATGTTACTTGTAAAAGAATAAAAAAGGGGTGCGTTTAAGAACCGTTGTTTTATTGGACTCTTCTTATTTTTCGTTTGTGTCAATCGTTTAAAGTGAGCTTGTTCTCATCTTGCTTCATTTATCTTAGAATGTTTCTGGTCTTCTCTATAACCATTTTTGTTTCTTCCCTCAAGTTTCATGTATTCGAACTGTTGTGCGCCGTAATGCTACAACCAAAAAGCTGTGATACCCAATTGTGGTAGCGAAATGTCACAACTAAATATGCTTTGATATCCAATTGTTGCAGCGGAATGCCACAACCATAATACTATGATATCAATTGTTGTGGCGAAAACGGAAGCAAGATGGACTATACTCACACACCCATGAACAAAAATTAAATAAAGAGACAAAAATTTACGTGGTTAGGAGAGAAGAAATTCTCTTACATCCATGGGTGGTAGTCAATCACTATAACTAAAATGTTTATAAAGTGTGTGTCTCACACTCTCACAACTACGAAGTCCCTCCTACAAAAGTTTCTCCAAATTGCCTCTAGCTAAATACAAAATAACAATGACTTTACATGACTCTAGACCTAGACAAGCTTTTATACAAGACATACTAATTATCGTGCATCAACCAAATAAATGAGAATACTAATTAAAATAGTTACAATAACCAAAATTAATAAGAATATTAATCAAAATAGTTTTTAATAACCAAAATGAATGAGAATTACGATAATTCATTACAATTTACAACAATTTACACGTATGACAAGATTCCTAAGGAGAAAACCAGATCTCCAATTATATAATCGATTTGGCTGTACTAAATCAATATGCTACTTCTTCTATCCAATCTTGATAAGATCCAAGTAATGTTGGAACTTTTCACGAGCAACTACTTTTGTCAACATATCTACAGATTATTGGCAGTTCCAATTTTCAATAAATGAATGTTCTCTCCATTAACAATTTCTTAAACAAAATGAAATCGGACATTTATGCTTGGTACGAGTACGATAGACTTGGTTCTCCGACAAACAAATAACACTCTAGCTATCACAAAACACTTCTATGTGTTTCTGAGAAATACGTCATGAACTAAACTATGCATCCAAATAGCTTCTTTAAAACCTAGAGCGAGGGTAATATATTCTGTTTTGGTGGTAAACAATGCAAAAGTAAACTGCAATATTAAACGCCAACAAACGGGTCCACCAGTCATTGTGGACAGATAACCAATAGTATATCGACACTTATCCAAATCACCAGCATACCCGAATTGCATGTGTCATAGTTTCAATATATCTTGTTCTTCCAAACTTACCACATCAGCATGCCCGATTATCGTGGTTCCATTGAGATAATATATGCTACCTCTTCTAGTCCCTCTAATTACCACCAAAACTCCATTAGCTACTCTCAAATTCCTCCTTCCAAAGTGATAGAGCATCCAAAACACCTAGGGAAATCAAATTACGAAATCTTAGTGAGGGACATACCTCACAACATACAAAGATTTCTTCAATCTACATATCAAACGTTGTTAGCTCGAAAACCAACCCACTGTGTCGTATATATTTTTCTTCCAAATCTCCATACAGGAAAACAATTTTTCATATCAAATTACTGCAACCTCAAAATTAAATTAGGAAACCAAAACCAACAAAAATAATTTTTTAGATGGAAAATTATCACAAATCTTGGAAATATGATTTCCAAGAACCAATATCACCAACAATACATACAAATATTTTTCAATTTGCCTGCCAAATCACCAAACAAAAAAACAGTTTTCAAATCGTGCAAGCTCAAAATTAAATTAAGGGACCAGAGCCAACAAAATCGAAATGGATGGAGATTATCACAAATCTTGTAAATATGATTTCTAAGAACAAATATCACTCGCCCATACAAAAACTTCTTCAATCTGCCTTCCAAGTCTCTAAATAAGAAAACATTTTTCATACTAAGAATAAATATTGCCACTAGCCCATATAAAAATCTCCAAACAAGAAAACAACTTTTTTTTTATTTTTTTATTTCATACCTAGATGTGCCCGCTCAAAATTAAATCGAGCAACTAATGACAACAAAACCCAAATGGAGAGAGATTATATAAATCTTGGAAACCCAAGACTTGTGAGAGCCTTTTGAAAAAAAAATCTCAAACTCATTGGAGTAAGAAGTTTCGAGGATTCTGGTAGATGAAGTTTCGGAGGGAGAGATTCGTATGGTTTTGGCTCAAACTAAATGTCCTATTCACGTAGATACAAGAGAATTTTTGTCAAATAATATATTTGCATATATAATATGTTATGGTATAAAATATCTTAATATATATTTAACTCATTTGAATCTCATTTAAATTTCAAATATATTTTTTATTTAAGGTATACATTCATTGATTTAATATTTAATTGTATCAAATACAATAAATATATATTTTCTTTTTAATATTTTTAATGTATTAAATTTCAATTGGAACACTTCAAATTTTTCCTTAAATGGAACCTTTTAGGGGTTTCTATGAGCTAGCAAGGGACCTTATGACTTATGACTTATGACTTATGAATTATAGATATAAAATTAATTAGTTAAACTTTTTAATTAATCAATTTTCATTCCTTAACTATATATCACTCCACTCTAGACCTAGAGTTGCAATTTTATGCACTCTAGGATAAGTTATGTCCATTGATATCATTATTACAAGCAAGTCGATTCTTCACGAGTTGTTCATAATTACACCTGGGTCAAAAGTCCGTTTACCCGTGTATTTACATCTTTCACCTTAAGTACCACAGATTCTCTAACGAATAATTTGTTTATGATCCAATCATTAACCAAGTCCCTCTCTAGCCAATGAGAGGGTGGGGCCCATTGTTCAAGTCTCGAAATTAGTACCTAAGAGAACAACTCATCTACTTTCGTTGTATGGAAAGAAGTGAATTTCATCTCATGATATTATGTTTCCAACTCCCTTTTTTGTCAAAGTCCCCAAAATGGTAGGCATATTGAATACGCTAGTTATTCTCACTTATGTAAATTAAAGGACAAGCTCTCACAGGCAGGAGTTCATAACTCACTCAGGATTAATACCGAGTCGCATATGATCATCATGTGAAATATTAATCTTCTCAATTGGATTTATAAAGAATGATTAAATATTTCTTGGTCCAGTCTTATACAAACTCATTGTATAGGATACCCCTACTTACATGTCTCGACATGAACGATTTGGATCAAATCATTTGTAACGATTATAAAGTGAGTCGTATCAATAGTGTTACGCACCCAACCTTATCCATATACTATAGACCTTTTAGGTTATTATTTGAACACGATCCTCTTGTATGTCACTTGCATTAAAGTAGGTGAGACGTGTCCTAGAGCATACTCTATACCCAACATGTTCTCCCACTTGCCCTAAAGAAGATGAGACATGTCTCGTAATCCTAAACATTTTAGGTGACCCTCAAACACTTTAGTCGAGAGAGCCATTTTATATAAATCAAAACAATTATCATTAAAGGTCATCATCTTGTCACTACCATGATCCTTTCTCTCTCAATATTATTCTTTATAGATTGATGTTTTATAATTTCCTTAATATTAGTCTTTGTATCACTATCATCACAATGAAAAGTGACAAACTAAATCAGATCTAACACACTTTTCCAAATGTTAAAGAAATTATTGTAGAAGTCATTTTATTGCTTTAAAAGAAAAAAAGAAGAAGAAAATATTCCGATTGTACATCATACTTCACACTCACTCTGAAGTAAAATTAATCTTAACATAAATTTCTCTAAATTCATAAAGATCAATAACTATATACACAAAATAAAAAATTCTCATTATCCATCTAATACCGTGAGAAAACTTTAATTTTTCACTTAATGGTCATACCATTAATTTAACTAATATAATCTAATTAACTACGTTAATTCTCATCTATGCATTAATTGTCTCCCACTAAGGAAAGATAATTAATCATATACTTTCATCATTTGAAGTTACTTAGGATACTATTCCTCTCACTTCATATTTGAATGATTATTATCATTTTTGAAGTTTTGCATCAAATATTTGATAACAACTTTCTCAATACAGAATTATCTCAAATCCTTCATCCCAATCAAAGATTATCAACGTAATTTCTTTTTTTAAAAAAATCTACTAAGTGATTAGTAATTTGCTTGTTTTCACAAGCTTATTACAATTTATTCAAAGTCGTAGGTTATCAAACCTTCTTCAAAGATCTATACGTTAAATTCATAATGAACTTTTACTCCTTTAGCAAATATTTTGTTTTTAATCTTTAATAATAAATTTATATAATAATATGTATAGATGTATTCTCTTAGATGTCTTTTCAACCAAAATTCTAAATATTCATTTAACCTCTCTAGCAATAAATAAATAAATAATAATAATAATAATAAATATATATATATAGAATAACAATAGACTCTAGAATGACAACACGAGAGAAAATTACATTTTAGCAACTTTCTCTCGTCAAGTTCAACTCTTTGTCATGAGTCATATTTTTTAAGATATGTATCTTCTTATCTATACATAATTTTCCTTTTGTAGGTCCATTCATATCTTATGAGTTTAACCTCATCAAGAACATCTACAAATCGCTCGACTTTATGACTTTAACTATCCTTCATCATCATCCCCCTAACTATTTTGAGGATAATGAGCCTTTAAACTCTTCCACTATAATGAAGCTTATCCAATTAATG